ATCCTGCCCCTCCCTTGGACCCGGCCTCCTCGCTCCGACCCAGAGGTCCAGGCCCAGCCTCCCCCCAGCCCGGGGTCCGGGCTGAGCTCCTGGTGTCCTCCTGCCCCCAGGTGTTTGTCGCCTGGTCCTCGTGGTGCTGAGCCTCTGGCCAGAGAGAGCTGCTGCCCGCGGGCCACCTCCTGGCTCTGCTCGGGCGGAGATGGACAGTACGGTCCTTCTCACCCGCTCCCTCCTGTTGGACACGCAGGAGCTGTTTGCACAGCTGGTAGGAGACCGGTCAGGGTGGTGGGGTCCAGGACATAGTGGCAGGGGTGAGTCCGGGCGGTCTTCATGTCAGCCAGCTGGAGGGCAGAGCCCAGGGAGCTCGAGGTGGGGCCGAGGTGGGGTTGGGGTCCCCCTTACAACTCTCTCGCTCCAGAAGAACCAGTACCCTGTGGCTGGGGGCTTCGGCCTGAAGTCCCTTCCCAAGCTGGCCATGAGTGCGGGCGCCCTGGGAGCCCTGCAGGTAGGGGCTGGGGTGTCCTGGTGTGTACAGTGGCTGGGTGGGGCCGGTGTGTAGAGCATCTCCTGACACCTCATCCTGTCCACAGCTGTCCAGCATGCTCACACGGTTGCGCACTGACCTGCTGTCCTACCTGCGCCACATGCAGTGGCTACGCCGGGTGGGTGGCCCTTCGGTGAAGAGCCTGGAGCCTGAGCTGGGCACTCTGCAGACCCAGCTGGACCGCCTCCTGCGCCGGCTGCAGCTCCTGGTACGCCTGGCTCCTGGGCCCTATACCCTGCACCCTGGTACCCCGAAACCCTGTGCCCTGAGACCTTGAAGCTTGGGGCCCCAGGGTCCCAGGTTCACTCTGGAGACCTGGACTCCAGACCACATCCCTGCTCTGGGATCCCAGCCCTGAAGTCCCTAAGACTCTGGCCCTAACACAGAGGCCTCAGACCCTATGATCCTGCCCAGAAGGTCCAGGCCATCACCTCATGATGCTGGCACCCCAAAGTCCCGGTCTCCTGACCACTGAGACTATCGGACCCCAGAGCTCCAGATTCTACCTGACACTATAGACTTCAAACCCAAGACCTGAGATCCCCATCCTGAGGCCCCGACACTCGAGAATCCAAATCCTCACACCAAGACTTGGAGACTCTGGTCCCACCATGAAAAGCTCAAATTCACTTGAGGCCAAGCTTCCAGCCTGAGCTGTAGGAACCTGACCCTTCCGTCCTTGAGACCCCCTCACAACACCAGCCCTCAAGAACCTGCCCCTCAGACCATGGACCCCAGACCCAGACCCCACCCTGACACCCTGTCTATCTTCCAAGACCCTGAGACCTCATTTCTGGGGCCTGCCTGCACATTTTAGCTCCTAATTCTGGGACCCAGCCCCAAGATGCCAGCCCTGCCTACCCTGTGAGGCCCCAGCCCTCACCTGGCCAGCATAGACTTCACCCCAGCCCCACCCTTAGGATGGCCACCTTATGGCTTTGTGAGAGGATCTCACTACGTAGTCCCTGCTGGCCTTGAAATTTTTGCAACCCTTCTGCCTCAGCTTCCCAAGTACTGGGATTATAGCCCTACTCCACCACATCAGCTGAGGAGGAGCAGTTTTTGATCCCAGCCTGCAGGCTCTGAGCCTGAAGCCTTGAGGAGGGCCCTGCCCCGCCCACCCCACCTTTTACTAACCCGCGCCCTCTCCTCTCAGATGGCCAGCCTGGCACTGCCCCAGGTGCCCCCGGAACTGCCAGCACCTCCCCTGCCGTCTTCTCTCAAAGACTGGAGAAGCATCCAGGCGGCCCACGCCATTATAGGGGGACTGCACCTCACCCTGGACTGGGCCGTGCGGGGGCTGATGCTACAGAAGGCCCAGCTGTGACCAGGACAGGACACAATGCCACCTCCGTCTTGGAAGCCACGTCTTATTTATTTATTTATTTCAGTACTGGGCACAATGGGCAGGGGTCCCTGAATCATGCCCCTAGTTAGGCCTGAGCGAGGGGGGCACCTGTACCTTATTTATACTTATTTATTTAAGGGCTGGAGGAAGGGAGGCAGGTGACTTGTGAGTCCTCAAGGAGGGGAGATGGGATCCCCGATTCTATAAGGAGCATTTCCACCTTTCCACGATGTCTTCCGGGCTCCTCCCCTCAGGGCCTGGACAGAAGCATATATTATTATTTATTAAACAATTACTTTGTAATGTTAGGGTGAGTAGGGAAGGGAAAAGGAAGACTGGGTTTGGGTACAAAAATGTGAGAAGGCCTTGTGAGATGGAGGGGATTGCATTTGTCTTCCTCACACCCTTGTGGGTGCCATTGAGACCTGGGCTTGCACGCTGGGGTCCTCCTACAGGTAGAGCAGGAGAGGGGCGTGGCTGGCAGCCCGGAGAGCTCTGCGTGGGCTGGGTTTGAGCTGCCTCTGAGCCAGCACCTCAGGTGGAAGGTTCCAGATCCGGAAGGTCACCCTGTGACTGATGGTATCAGAAAGGACAAAACTTTGAGCTCGAGGTCATCTGTTCTGGCACCGTTCCCGCAGGCAAGTGGGAAAGAACCTACATGCCCACCGGTGGGGACAACTCAATAACAAAGTTCCTCCGCGAACACAACAGCTGCCTGGTCACAGCTAGGGAGGCGGGGAGAGGAGACAGCCACAGTGCGCTGTCCAGGAGGGTGTGACAAAGAGCAGACTGCACAGCCGCTGCACCATCCTGATTCTGTGATTCTCTTTCTATGTGTATAGATGTTTTTAAACCCCAGAGGGAAATACACCAACATGGTGATAATGGCTGTCTGAGGGTTGAAGGTGAGACGAAGGATGGTGGGTGACTTATATTGTTTGCACTTGTATTTTCCAGAATTTCTACCATGACTGACTGTATTTTGCGTGACACATTTAAAATAAAAATAAACACTATTTTTAGAATGATGGAATATTGGCCTCCTTATCCCCCCAAAAGGCCCTCAGAAAGGAATAAGAAAGACCACTAACTGGGTGTGGTGGTGCACACCTGCAATTCCAGCATTCAGAAGGCTGAGGCAGGAGGATATTCACAAGTCTGTGAGAAACTTGTCTCAAAATAACAGAAGAAAAAAAGAAAAGACCGCTAATTGAGCCCCTGCTCTGTGCCACACTCCAACCAGGGGCTTTGAATCACAGGATTTCCTTGGGCCCTCAAATATGTCCACTTTTCAGGCAAGGGAAACCAGTGGAATAGTGTTTTTGTTGCTCAAGGTCATGTAGCTAGGGACAGATAGAATCTCGATTGTTTTCTGCTTTTGTTTTTTTGGTGGTGCTTTGGGCAGCACCCAGCGTCTTGGGCATGCTAAGCAAGCACTCACCACTGAGCTACATCCCCAGCCCTTTATTCTTGGTGACTCTGGGAATTGAACATGCAGCATCACACGTGCTTGGCCAGGTGTCCTGCCACTGAACTATATCGCCAGAGCCATTTTGGTTCGTTATTTTGAGGCAGGGTCTCATGAAGTCTCCCTGGCTGGCCTGGAATTTGCAATCCTCCTGTCTCAGCCTGTCTGGCTGAGATTAAAGGTGTGTGCCACTACATCTGGCAGAATTGGGATTCTGCTCTGGATGGGCCTTATTTGAAAAACTAGTGTCCCTTTCTTTATAGCTCAGGGTTTAGGGACAGATGACAGGGACCTCCACATATTAGCAGTGAGGAAACTGAGGCTCGGTACAGGTTCAAGTCTCACGCAGGATCCAGGGAAGGGTCACTGGCAGAGCTGGGACCTTAACTCAAGCCCTTGGGTGGATGGTCCACTTTCGGTAACGAAGACCAATGCCCTGGGGAGCCGCCCAGTGCTGTCCCAGGTTGGGTCTGGGGAGGGGGTGGAGCCTGGGCCTGGATCCTGTTCACCTGTCCTGGTTCTCAGGGTGCCAGGGTCCTGGATGAGTCCTTGCGTGTCAGCTGAGGTCACAAAGCCCCCTCCAGGCTCCTCCCAGCCCAGTGCTGTCTCCCCCACAGGACCATGGCCACAGCCCACGTCCCCCCACCCTGAGAGGCCGTGCTGAGGGGCCAAAGCCGGCGGGGTGGCCCCTGGGTAGCGGGTCCTTCCCGTACTCAAGCCTGTGGCCATCATGAAGCGGCTTTGGAACACCCGGCCAGCTCAGCCGCGCAAGGGCTCCGCCCAGTGGGTCCCTGTTCTGGGCAATCTGCAGAAGACCCTCCAGAAGGGCGAGCACCTGCCGCTACGTCCACTACCCATGTTCGAGAGTAACTTTGTTCAGGTCCCTGGGGGCCAAGGGCAGGGGGACCAGGGGCTCAGGAGGGGCTTCAGGCAGCTGGAGACAGGTGTGGTGCCAGCCCTTGTCCCCGGCCACCCCAGGTGACAGAAGTCGGGAGCCCTGTGTTCCTGCATCACAGAGCCAACCGGGTGACCATGGGTGTGGCTGCTTCTCTGCCTGGCCTGGTGCTTCCAGACATCCTGCTCTTCGCTCGGCCCCGGACCAGGGATGACTCCTGTCTCGAGTTGACCAGGTGCCTGTCCGCCCCGCCCCTGCCTCACTTGCCATCACCTCCTGTGTGACATCTCCCGCTCCCCAGGATGATCCCACTGGACTTTGCCCGCCTTCACATCCACGACACATCCGCCCGGCGCCTGAAGCTGCGGCTAGTCACTGGCCGCTGCTACTACCTGGACCTGGAGGCCCCGGACCGAGAGATGAGCTTCCTGTTCGACTGTTGGGTGCGGCTTGCTCACCTGCTCCAGGAGCCAGCAACCGCCTGGGCCCCGTGGCCCCTGCACCCATCTGGCCATGATGTGCTTCTGGCCAAGGTGCCTGCCTCCACCTGGCGCCTGCAGGTGGGACCTCAACACACAGACCTTGGGGCAGCAGGGCTGGGAAGCCATGGTCCCCTTTCCATAGGGAACTGGGCCCCAGGCCAAGGCCAAGGCTCCCAGCGGAGGGCTAGAGGTCCTGGACCCCTGAGTTTGAGGAAGGAGGGCGGGTAAACCTGCTGCTGTCAGCGATGGGTATGCGGAAGCCTGGGCGGTGGCCCCTCCTGACTGCCCTGCCTGTCCACAGGACCTGGCCCACGGCACCCAGACAGGTGAGTGGGTTGGCCCTATGGGGCCCTCCCGGGGCAGGGCCCATCCCTCAGGGCGTGGGCAGAACTCCAACACTTGGGTTCCCTCCCTGTCCTCTGATGGGCCCTGAGGTCTTCCTTCCCCTTGTCCCCCACCCATCCCCACTGTCCCTGACGCTCCTCTGTCCCCTCTCTGTTAGCTGCCACGCAGGAGCCCACCTTTCCTCATAAGAGGCCCCCTGTACAGAAGCCAAGGAAGGCTAAGGTGAAGCGGGAAGGTGGCTGGGGTGCTGCCAGGGTGAGCGCCGGGGCTGCTCCTCCCTGACTGCCCCAACCCCCTCACCCTCTCCAGCGCAGGTTCCAGTCCCGGGCTGTAGGCGACTCTGTGCCTCTCTTCTGGTCACAGCAGGATTGTGCGGATGTGAGGACAAAGTCCACGGAAAACAGGTGACCAGGGCTCTTGCTGCTGGTGGGGATTGGGAGACAGTTGGAGACCCTGGCCCTGATACCACCAAATCCCATTGTGCTGTTCCTACAGGTCTGCCCCCAGTGCCAATCCCGACAGACGTGACATCCAAATCCACGGTTCTGGTGAGAGCAGTCCCTTCCCTCTGTCACCATGTGTGGACCACATATGGCTCTGGTCCCATCCCCAAAGTGCTCAGGCTACATTCTCTCCACCAGGAAAGAACAGCAACACCATCCGCACCATCTTCAGCATTATCTCCAGCACCATCCACCAGGCCAGCTACACCACAGGGCCGGGCCCAGACCCCGGGTCTCAGGGAGGAGGCTGGGAGCCGGGGCTCCTGAGTCTGGGCTCTACAATGGCCTTGACCCTGTGCCCTTCTCCCCCAACCAGGCCTGCACACCTGACTCTGAGGAGGCCCCTGGCCGGGAGGGCCTGATTGCAACCCCATCCCGCTGTGTCTCACGGGACAGCTCTGGCCTTTCACGGCTGGGGTCCATCGATTCTTTGGAGATACTCCTATGGCAGCACGAGATCGAGGACTTCCTGGCCCCAGAATCTACCACTCTGTCCTCTTCCTCTTTGAACACTGCTCCATATTCTCCTGCCCTGTACCTCTTTCCACCCTGTCCCTCTTTCTCCAGTCCCCAGGACAAGGCCAGAGATGTGGACTCGAGGCTGGGCCAGGGGCCACCACCCTCCCAGAAGGCCCTGTCTAGTGCTGGTCCACAGCGGGGAGCACCAGTCATCATGGACAAGCCGCAGAGGGTGCCAGCTGTCTCTGGTGGTCCCCAGAAGTCCCCAGCCTCTGCCCACCCATTCCAGAAGGCCCTGACTGTGCTCTCTCCACCACCCCAGTCTCCGACAGTCCTGCCTACCTGCACGGGTCCCCAGAAGGCTGCATGTCCCCAAGGCCCAGAGAAGGAGCCTCTGTTCCTGCCCACCTGGTCCCAGCAGACCCCTGCCCCACTGCCCCAACCCCAGGCAGCCCCTAGCCCTCCTGCCTTGCAGGGGAAGCCCCCTACCCAGCTTGACATGGTGTTGGCAGGACCTCCAGGAGCAGATGTGACCAAGAGAAGCAAGCACGAGGGGTCGCCAGGGCCCCGGGTGTTGGTGGGCATACAGGAGATGAATGTGACGGAGATAAGAACCCAGGAGGTGTCCCTGGACCTGCCCTTTGGCACCACCACCAAGGAGTCCAAGGAGGTGCTGGTCAGCCAAGCCCGGGAGGTCACCCTGGGGGGCCTGTGGGGCCAGGCAAAGCTGGAGGACACGGCCCACAGGAGGAGGGAGGAAGTGCTGTTGGACCTGCCCAGTGTGAGGTCCAAGGAAGTGGAGCAGCAGAAGACAAGGGTGAGGACCCAACAGGTGGCCTTCAAGGGTCCTGGCCAGGAGCGCAGCAGGGCCTTTTCTGTGGAGGGGCTCTCCATGGCCAAGCCGATGATCATGGCCAACTCCAAGGAGCAGTGCCCATGGCCAGCCATGGCTTCCCTGCCCTCCCGGCTTGCAGGGACTTCCCAGGCAGGAGCCATGTCAGTGGATATCGAGGTATCAGTGCCCTGGAGCCCCAGCCAGCTGTCCCTGCTGGAGGACACACGAGTGGTGGTCAGGGACCAGCCAGAGTCTCACCCTTGTGGAAAGGAGCAAGCAGAGCGACAGATGGACAGAGAGCCACCCCGGGACTCAGGGGGGTCTTCTAAGGGGCCCCTCAGCCCCGTGCCTGGCTCCAACAGCCCGATGAGGACCGCGGATCCTCTCGTGCCCATCCCCCTGCCCGCCTCACTGTGGGAGGACTTGCCACAACCTCCTCTCCCTCCAGCCTGCAGCTCGGGGGCCAAAGCCCCAGCAAGGGTGCCCCAGCAGCTCACAAGGGCCTCGCAAGGGCCCGTGAGGATGCCCAGGCCACATTCTCCAGCCACAGCTAGGTCCTCCTCAGAGAGCATCCTGCCAGTGCTCTTGGAAATTCCAAGTGTGAGGGATGTGGCCACCCAGGCGCAGATCACAAAGGGGGACCTGCGACTCCTTCACCCTTTGGCCAGGTGTGTGGAGACGGCAGTTGGCGTCCACTGTCAGCTGTCATCTACCCAACGGGGGGGCGGAGGGGACCGTTACCTCACTTGGTTCATTCTGTCTACCTCTGGCCTGCCTCTCACTCACTCTGGGTGGTTGGGTGCTTTCAGTTTGTCCTGAGGTTGACCTCTGCGAGGTGTTGCTCCTGACAGCACGATGGTCCCATAATGCGGGTGACGGAGTGGTGGGCACTGCGGGCACCTACTGAGTGGGGGCCGGGCTGTGCGCTGGTCACCTAGAAAGCCCGGGACAGGTCCTACTGTAGCAGGGGCGGAGGAGCTGGGGTGGTGGTGCAGACCTGAGGAGGCGGAGCACAGGGGTGCAGGGACCCCCGGCAGGCGGCAGGCGGCAGGCGGGGAGCAGCAGCGCTAGGCGGAGGGGCGGGACTTCTGGGAGAGATCTGGAACCCGCCCCATTTTTAACTTCTGGATTCGGAACCAGACTCGAAAACGCTCACGGAGTGGGGGTGGGGCAGCTGGAGAGGGGCTTCTGGGGTTCAGGGCACGTGGTTTGGGAGTCTGGTGCATGGAAGAGTGACTCGAGTCCGAGGTCGGCAACGAGTAGAGAGGAATGAGAACAGTCAAGGCGTTAGGGAGCGGAACGGAGGCGTCCCGAACACTGCAGGCGGCTAGGAGGGCAGGTGGAGCGCCAGGACCTGTGCGTTCACCTGCCGGGGGCGATTCAAGGGAGATGAAGGCCTGAGAGGGGGCAATGGCGGGCTGCAGCAGGGGCGCCCTTGGGAACACCATGCCAGGGAAAATGAGCCGCAGGGCCACGCGGCCCTGGATTCCTGACCACAGATGCCCAGAATAGGCAAACTACCCGGACAGAGGTGGACAGTGGTTCTCAGGGGCTGGAGGCGCAGCGGCAGGGAGCGCCCTCGGTGGGTGGGGTGTTAAAGGACGGAGAAGCCCGTGCCCTGACCCCCTGGCTTCTCTCCCCGCAGCCTGCAGCCTTCCCAGCGCTTTCAGTAGCGGTCACAGAGGCGGTGGCTCGGTGGCAAGCTGTGGAGGAGCCCGCGGGGCCAGGTACTCGAGACCCTGGGACCTGCCTTGGGCCGGCCCCCGCGCAGGACTCAACTGCCCTTTTCCTCTGCCCACAGGCCCCGGGGTGCTGGGCACCCTTCCTCGGAGTGCCAGTGGGGTCCCTCTTCAGGAGAGATCAGAGCAGTCTGTACATTTATATGTGGGGGTGCGGCGTGGGAAGGGGCTCCCGAGTAGAAATTAAAGACTTGAGTCTGGGACTGTGCCAAAGCCGACTTGGTGCCTGCGCACCGACCCGAAGACCTGGGGACGGGAGGGGCTGGGGGACTGGGATTGGGGTGAGGGCTCGGGGTCCAGCGGCGTCCATTGGCTGGGGTTCCCAGGCTCCCAGCCAATCCAGCGCGAAGGTCGTGTTCTTCGTGGGAGGCGGGCACCCCAGGACTCCACAGCCAGGCCACCCC